ATTTTCTAGTTGTCTCACAGTTTTAGGTGTTAAATTTAAGTTTTTGATCTATTTTGAGTAGATTTTTGTGTCTAGTGAGAGATAGGGGTCAAGTTTCAATCTTCTGCATGTGGATATCCAGTATTCACAGTACACTTTGTTGAAGAGGCTGTCTTTTCCCTATTGTATATTTTTGGCACTTTTTATCAAAAATCAGTTAGCTATAAGTGTATGTGTTTACATTGTGACTCTCTGTTCTATTGCACTGGTCAATTTCCTTTTATGTCATCACCAGTTTGTTTTGGTTACTCTAGCTTTATGTTATATTTTGAAGTTAGAAAGTATTATGCCTCCAACTTTGTCCTTTTTATTCAAGACTGCTTTCTCTATATGGGGTCTTTTGTGGTTCTATTCAAATTTCAAGATTTTTTAAAAAAATTTCTGTGAACAATGTGATTGGTATTTTTATAGAGATTGTGTTGATTGTGTAGATTGCTTTGAGTAATACTGACGTTTTGATGATGTTAATTTTTCTGGCCCATGATCATGGGATATTTTTCCATTTATTTGTGTCCTCCTAAAATTTTTTTTACTAATGTCTCATAGTTTTCTAATGAATCATTGCTTTTATGCTTTAATTTATAAGCAAAGTTTTCCTTTGATTTTTTACATATTTACAATAGTTGTTTTGACATTTTTCCTCCTAACTACAATGTGTGGGTCATGTAGATATATTTCCCATTTATTATTTTCAGATTTTTTCTAAGCATAAGGTTATACTTTATCATTTCTTTGTATATCCATAATTTTCATTTGTAAAATAGATTTTTTGTAGTATTTTTTGTTTCTCTAAATTCTCATTATACCCCCCTTTATCTTAAAAGGTTTTTTTGGTTTCTTTATTTAGTTAATTCCCTATTGCTGCTGATGTCTCTGCTGAGTTTAAAGAGAGATAAAATGTAATTTTTACTTGTGGCATCCTGTTTCCCCTATGTGTCTATGTATCTTTGTTTGACTTCTAAGCTTGAATGGAAGTTGTGTTCAATTTCATCAATACACTGACGTTTCTGCCCTCTGGATGGATTTATGTTTGAGTGGGGGAGTGCATTAAAAGTTTAGGCCATTTTCAAATCTGCCATGACTTACTCCCTGATGGGATTCTTCACTTCTCTTATTCATAGCATGGTCAAGATTGTATATCACTTAACCCTAGTAAAATTAGCAGGTGCAATTCATTTGTTTCCAGGAACAGCACAGTAATGCTTTTAAGATGGGCATCTGATCCCAAGTAAACAATTGCCACTCAAGCTTCAGAAATTTTTGTTAAACTATGCAAGTAAATTTTCCTTTCTGCTGAGGCTTATGTCAGGAGATTCACCTATCTTTCATTTAGTGAGAATAAATTCAATGTAGAGAAAAGAAAAAAATAATCTGGAAAAAGACATATAGACTATATTCTCTGACAATGTTTTAGCTTCAAAATTCAGCTATGACTGATGTTATAACTGCTCTTCCCAACATTTTTTTTAAATCACTTAATCTTACTTTACTTGGTTTATGTCATAAGCAAAATAAAAGTCCTAATACAAACAGCGTAAATTTTGTGTGAGTGTGTAGACCCAGCTATTGGCCTTGTTCTTCAAAAAAACTGCATGGAGGAAGTAAGTCTAGGGTAAAGGAGACCAAATATATTGGGACATATTTGCTCAAACAAATAAAACAATATCTGTGGGGTTAAAGATGATTAGATGACTACATACTATTTAAGGATATACATTAAACTGGCTTGGTAGAGACTGGAATTCAGAATAAATATTGTAGTTTGCATGACAATGACTGAATATTGGTAACATTGTGGACAATGGGGTATAAGTGAGAAGATAGTGTGGTGGGTGTTACATATCAGGCATCCTAATGTGCTAGTATTTGTGACTTCTTCACTATTGAATATATTAAACTGCATTTCAGCGACAAATCTGTGTAAAACTAGAGAGTTGGAAATCAACTGCATATATGTTGTTTTAGAATTAAAGGGAGTGGTTGAAGTCAATTATAGTTAATGTACAGAATGAGAAGCGAGAAAAATGAGAAACTTCTCCACTTGTTTAGTACATTAGTTTCATTGTACATTGAATCCTCAGTGAAAACCAGTTAAATTTCTATTTATTCATTTTTTTTTTCAATTATCCAAAACATGGAATAATGCTTGTCTAATAATAGTTTTTATCAGTTTACATATATATTGAATAAATCAAGGAGCCATGGATTAATTAAACATCTCATGGGAAGACATATATTTGGTAAAATATATATATATATAAATAAATGTGTCTCTCTCTTTTTCCTTGTAAACATGTCCCATCTCTATATATCAGAACCTCTTGTTATGCTTCCATGCGAGTAAAAGATGTTTCTACTATTTAGGGAGGTTGACAACTTCACATGAGTTCTGGGATGATTGGCATGAGTCTTATCTTTACTTTTTTGTCATTTGCATTGGGATCAAATCCATTCTCAGCACATCACTATATGGTGAGGATATAATAAAGCTTTCTAAATGAGGACAGTCTATCATATCTAAACTCATATTTTCTCCCTTCTTCCTAGGATGTGAACAGCATTACAGCAAGGTATGTGTGGACACCAGGGATAGTCCTTTTGTGCTGTGAGAAAAAATTTGTAGTCATTAGAATTATCTGGTAATCAATGAGAATAAATCATCTCTGGGGCAGGAAAATGGAGATATAGTGTTATCTTAAATTTCTGATCATGATTCAGGGTTTGTGTGGCCTGTAACTATTGAGGATAGATCAGATTCCATGGTGTAGGATTTGAGTGGAGGGAAGTAATTAAATTTGGGTCATTCATGGTATTAGGGATAAGGTGTTGCAGTATCAGACCCTGTGACACCCCCGTTTTATTCAACCTGCGAGCCTAAATCTCACTCTGGTTTTGTATTTAATAGGCTCTTGACTTATCATGAGAGAGATGTATCTTTTCTGATTTCTAAAGACCTAGCATTGTTCATTGGGATAATTCTCACATGTTTATATTCTTCTCCTGAGAATACAAAAGACCAGGTTCTATTTTTTTGGTGTATGATTCTATTTACATTTCAAAAAAAAAAAAACAAAAAACTTGAATCTTTAGAAATAATATTTTGGCCCCGATGCAAACAATTGACTCATCTCAGCTACATACATTAGAAGAGTATGCAGAGGTTGTGTGCTTGTGTCTAAAATTGCACACTAACCTGGAAGCATCAAGCCGTTTCCAAACACATAAAACTCAAACCAATATTAGATTGGTCTTCATAATATCTTCTTCCCTTTCCAAGTGTTTGTAATTTTTCCCAGTGAACCTGAAACTTCATATGATATCTGAGGGCCTCACTACTGGGAACAGACATTGCAGATCATTGCCCTCTTTTGGTAAGATTCCCACATTTGATAGTTCTCAAACATCCAGGAGGCAGATTCTGCAACCTCACTTTCTGACCATCTCCCTGGGAACCCTCATTTGTGACAATGATGATTTTACACATTAGATTTTTTTTAACTAATCAAAGTTTTGTTTTGTTTTGTTTTAAAATCCATTATTTTATCATTTCCTATAAGTTCTAGCAGGAAGAAAGGAATGGGTTATTTGAAGGAATTCAGTGGTGTCTGAGAGACACAAGGTCAGAGGTGTGGGGGATTTTTCATCCCTAGGTGTCAGAACTTCACCCTGAAGACCCCAAAAACTTTCCCCAAGAAACAAAGCAGAGTTTTTCAAGCTCCGGATCTGAAAGGGATGCTGCAAGCATTGAAAGGTGAGGAGAGCTAGATCAAGTGTGTAGCTGTGGGATTCCAGAGGTAGCAGGTGCTAGATGGGGAAGATGGTGCAGTTTCTGGGTGTGGAATGAGGAGACAAGGGAGGACAGATGCTGGGTGCTGATGATGTGGTCACATTTCACGAGAAATGATCAGGGGCCTGGTTCATCCTCTCACTCACCTGTTCACGTCCCTATCACAGTCCCTTTTACTTCCCTAATCTGGAGAGAAAATAGATTTCAGTGCTGGGTCTTCTGTTTGTATTGAATATTATAAATTTTTATCATTTCAGAGCTGACAGATATGCAACTATACTGGGGTAAGGAGAAATCACAGTATCATAAGCCACCCTGTTGTCATCATCTTTCAGAAATCTATGTTCTCTAGTAGTTCTCATTTTTCAAGTCCCATGTTTCTCCTTCCATCTCGAACATACCTAACCCTACGTGTAACCTCTGAATAAAATTCCTCTTAGGTCCCTCTTAAGTTTCTCTCAAGATTCCTCTCATAATTTCAAAAACGATGCTACATCATACTGCTCACATGATCCTTAATTTTTCTACAGTTGACATGAAATTGACTCCAAGGAAAAATTCAAATACTTTTAATTTTTTTAATCCGACACAAGTGGAATTCTCATTTGAGAAGTGTTCAGCTCCTGCTAATTCAAGTAGTAATGATTATTACAGCATCGGAGGCTCCCCACTGATGACATCAGGACAACATTACTGGGAGGTAGATGTGTCCAACAAAAGCGCCTGGATCCTGGGGGTATGTGAAGTAAAAGACCTCCAATGGCTTGTGAGGAACTGTTTTACACAAGTTGTAAGTTACCAACCTAGACATGGTTATTGGGTTATAGGGTTAAAGAATCAAGTTGAATATACTGCTTTTCAGGACTCTTCCTCCAATGATCCCTTGATTGTGACCCTCTTCCTGCCAGTTCCTCCCTGGCGTATTGGGGTTTTCCTAGACTATGATGCTGGTACTCTCTATTTTTTTAATGTTACCAATGGGTTTCTCATCTATAAATTCTCTTCATGTCGCTTTTCTCCAATGGTTTGTCCATATTTCAATCCTATAAATTGTTCAGTCCCCATGACTCTGTGCTCGCCAAGCTTGTGAAGTTCCTACACCAACACCCACTTGCCTGGATGCATCTCACGCACCTGAACTCATCGGCACCATTCTAACCGTCTTTTCCTTGCTGCCTGCTCTTCAATCTATTTGTGCAAATTGCCTTGTGCCACATTCCTCCCAATATTTCATTTGCATTTATGAGAAAATTTTATTCATTATTTTCCATACTCAGGAAAAATGACTGATCCTTCATAAAGAAAGACCAGTATTGAGGTAACACCTCTGCCAAATCTTTACAACCCAATTCCCTCTGACACTGACTAAGAAAACAAAAACATATTTTTCAACAACTTTTTTATATTATTGAAGGGCATGTCTAGGAGTCACTCACTAAAGAATGAGCCATTAGCAGTGTGTCAGCTTATCCGTGATGCCCCTTATCATCAAGGTATGAAGGAGAAAATATAATTGCTTTATACAAAGAGTGGAGGCTTTGAGTACAGAGTGTCTGAGTTAAAATTCTGTCTTCCCACATACTAGCCATGTAATTTTGAATAACATTCTTAAATTGCTGTGCTTATTTTCTTTAAATAATTTTGGTATAAAAACTTCACCTAATACTTTGGATCACTGTGACAAAATTAATTCATTAAGTATAAAGCATCTATTTAAGTTCTCAACTTAATAATAAGTATTTGCTCTACTAAGTACTGAAAAATGTAACCTGTGGCCGTGTCCCATGGAACAGCTTGTGCCTTCGGAGGAACTAAGTTTACCTTTACTGAATTCTCATTTTTTTTAATGTCCTATACACCATCCTCAATACTACTCCAGCTCTGTCTTTTATATACATACATACGTACACACACACACATTTAAAATTTCATTGTAATTCTGATGTTGCTACAGTCTTGCCCTTATCAAGTAAACACAATTCTATGGGATTCAGTTTATTATTTGAAAAAGAATAATAAAAACTAACTTTACCAGATATAGTATTTTGAAACTTAAAAAACAGAATGTTTTCTTAATAACTTCTATCATTTCTAGCACATAAGAAGTAATCTAATAAGGTGTCTATTAATTTTTGTTTCTTTTCTCTGTTACTGAAATAAATGATTTATAAGAAAATGTGTTAGTTTACTTTCAAAATTATTACCCAAACTTTGCTTTTATAAATAGTGTAACTAGATTAAAGAACCACAGATTTTTATTTATTTTTTTTAAAATGTAAAATAAATGCTGTTGAATGGAAAAAAAAAATCTTCGCTATTATTGACTTCATAGAAACCTACCCTTCATTTTTGTTTTTATGTTCCTGAGAAATTCTGTCCCATTGGAAATTCTTTTTGGGTTTGCTCAGTGCTGAATATATATATATGCCCAGACAAAACTATATATATAGTTTTTTAAAATTTTTTTCCTTTCCAAACAGGCTGTCTAAACAAGTAGTATTTGCTCTTAACTCTGCTTGGCCACAGGAATTCAAGTCTCCATTTTGGATGAACTTTCATGAGAAAAGGAAGTCCAAGGTGGATGCTCTCAGTATCTGTGAATGTGTGTGCATAACCTACCTCAGCACCCATCCATGAGAACTGGGAAAGTCAAACTTATAAATTTTCCATGTGACCTCTGCCTTCCTGTCACCCTATTTACTGGAATGTCTAGTCCCCCAGTTCAAAATAAAGTATCTAGTTACAAGGAAATAAAGAACTAAAATTGTATATACAACAGAAAAGATCTGCACCCAGAGGGTGTCCAAGTTTTAAGAGGTTCCTGACCCCAGTAATGAATACCTCTACTGGAGCCTATGGGTTGCTCCCAGATACACTCTGTCTACTCAGTAAAAGGCTGACAAAGCCATTCTCAACTCAAAAAGTCCATTGGACACCAACTGTAGATTTTCTCTCCACTTCTGTGTCAGGTCTAGAACTTTCTTCTTCCTGTCCCTTCTGAATCTCTGAGCAACAATCATACCATCTTGTGTTTCTGGTACCTTAGAACTGTGCTGGGCCATTTATTAGGCAGATATGTGTCCACAGTGGGAAGTTTGAGTGGGCTCAGCAGAATCTTAGGGTATAAGGAGGCTTTAGCCTATAGAATTATCCATAGATAATGTGCAGGCCATGGTACCTAGAGAAATCACTAAAAGGTGATCAGAAATTTGTCACTTGGGGACCTAAGATCCTCACTGGAATAGATACAAGATCTACCTTCATTAGTATGATTTTCCATGACCTTCCTTTTCATTTGAGGATGATGCTCGGCTATCTCTTTGTACTGACTCTCAATCTCTCCGTGTTGCCCATTGTCATTTTTGCTTTTCTGCTTTTATTCTCAGCACCCACAGTTGCCACTCCCCTCTGCCATGTCTCTTCCAAACTAGTACCTCCCCCCCACCCCCAGCTCAGATGACTCATTTATTGTAGTGGGGTGGAAAGAGGGACATTGCTTTTCTTTTCAGTGTTGCTTTGCCACTGAGACCCTGCAGGTACATTTCCAGATCCTGGTTTGGCAGGGATTATCCAGAAAAACTATATATCTATATGAGATGGAGAGAGCAAGTGAGCAAGAGAGAGTAAGAGACAAAGAGAGAGAGAGTTAAAGAATCTGTCTTATGCAGTTGTGGAAGCTAGTAAGTCAACCACCTGCAGGATAGACTGAAGGAAAAAATGATGGTTCCGCTCCAGTCTGAAGACACTTTAGAAGCAAAGTTTCCTCTCTTTTGGGAGGTGGCGGGAGGGTGGAAAATCTGTCTTATTTTCTTTTAAGGCCTTCAATTGACTGGATTAGGTCCACCCATTTTTTGAAGGATAATCTGCTTTACTCAAAGTCTATTGGTATAAATGTCAATGTCATCTAAAAATGCTTTCACAGCAAAACTTAGACTAGTGTTTGGCCAGATACCTGGGCATGCTATGCTCCAGCCAAATTAACATGAAATTAAACAACACAAATTAACTCATTGTCAATTTGGCACCCATAAACATTTTTTTAACCATACTTAATCTCTAAATAAAGGCAATTATAAGGTGATACTTTCACCTAACATGATGCAACTATCCTGTGTACAACCAACATGAACTAACCCTGTTCCCAAGAGTGGATACAATGTTCACTCTTCTCCTCGATATTCTATAACTTAATACTAGGGTGTAAAGTGAACAGTTCATACATACTGTGATATAAAGTCGATAAATATGTTTTATGTTAAATGATAAAGCGTTAAAAGGATAAAAGTATTATATATATATATACATATACATATATATGCACAAACATAAAATAAAAAATACAGAAGACAATTTTGGTCCTTGTTTATTTAACTGGTCATGTGGTCACACCTGATATTTAACACCACCCATTCTCCCACTACTTATTTTGTATTCTTTTTGCCCTCAGCAAGTAGTTCAGCTATTTTGTGGTACTTTACCTGGTGAGGCAACCCAAACTTGATGAAACTTGGCCATTAGTACCCTGCCTCAGTTGGGTTTATATAAATCTGTTCATGTTACCATAACACAATACCACAGATTGGGTGACTTAAACAACACAAGTCTATTTTCTTACAGTTCTGGACACTGGAAGATCATGACTAAAGTGACAGTGAGATTTCTGTCTGGTGAGGGCTCTCCCCTGGAGTTGTAGACAGCAGATTTCTTGCCATGTTCTCGTGTGAACTGTTGTTTGTAAGGAAGGAGACAGAGAGAAAGAGAAGGGGAGCAAACTCTTTGGTGCCATCTCTCCTTATAAAAACACTAAGTCTTTTGAACCAGGTCCCCAACGCATAAGCTCATTTATCCTTAATTACTTCCTTAGGGGATCTGTCTCTAATAGAGTTACACTGGACTTCAACATATGAATTTGGCAGATAAAAACATTAATTTTATCAGAGAATTGTAGTTTTCTATTGACTTTAATCTCAGAGCATGATAATATTAAAAGATGCCCTAAAGATCTCCTGTATTCCAGAAATACTCTTTACTTCCATGTGGAGTAGGTGTCCAGTTTCTCCTTGATAGCCAGGATCAATCACCTCAGCTAGCACAGTGACTGTGTTCTTTGACTGTTGATTCAGAGGCATGAAGTGTCCAAACTGGCTGGGTGGAATTCTTAACTTCTCAGTTTAATGGAATCATCATTGTGTCTACTGGTGGAAGCATTTCACTTTGGAACTAAGATCTTTATGCCAGTAGAGCATAAGGTCGCAGGGAGAAAAGGCAACACTTCCATGCCCATCCCTTGATTCTCAGAGTGGTGAATTCTGACTATGGAAGAAGAAGCACCAGATATTGAGCACAGACTCAGAGCAAAAATAGCTTCCTACAGAACCTTCCTGCAGCCCTGCAAGATATTTTCATCTCAATGATGCTGTGACTTCATCTTAAAGGGCCATTTCACTGTTCTATCAAACCAGCTGCTCAGGATGGTGAGAAACATGTTAATAACAGTGAATTTATGAGTGTGGGCGCATTGCTACATTTCCATTGTTGTTAAGTGAGGTCCTCAAATCACAAGCAATGCAGTGTGGAATACCATGATGGTATATAAAGCATTCTCTAAATTCACGGATGGTAGTTTTGGCAGAATCATTGATTGTAGGGAAGTCAAATTTATATCTAGAGTGTCTATTCCAGGAAGAACAAAACACGGTCCTTTTATGATGGTAGTGTTTCAATAAAATCAATCTACCACCAACTTACTAATGTACTAGTGCTGCCAAAATATCACAGAATGGATGACTTAAACCACAGAAATTTATTCTCTCAGTTCTGGAGCCTAGAAGTACAAGATCAAGGTATCAGGAGCTCTGGTTTCTGCAGAGGCCTCTCTCATTGGCTTGCAGATGGCCATCTTCTCACTGTGTCTTCACATGGTCTTTCCTCTGGATATGCACACCTGGTGTCTCCTCTTACAGATACATCAATTATATTGAATTATGGCACTACCCTTATGACCTCACTTAATTTTAGTTATCACTTAGAAGGCCTTATTTCCTAATACAGTCACATTGGGGATTAGGGTTTCAACTTAAGTATTTACAGAGACAAAATTTAGTTCATAATACTGCACACTCTGAACTCCCCAAATTTATGTTCTTATACACCAAATGCGTTAACCCATTCCAGTCACACCAAAATCTAAATTTATTCCAGCACAAAATGTTACTTCAAAGTATCACCTAAAAATTAACTAAAGCAGGTATGGGTTATATTCAAAGTATGATTCATCCTGAGGTAAAATTTCTTTCCAGTCATAAAGCTATGAAACGAGACATGCTATATGCTTGCAAAACACAACAGTAGGACCAGCACAGCAGACCTTCCCATTCCAAATGAGAGAAACTTGAAACAAGAAATGAACAACAGATAAGGTCCCAAGGAAGTCCAAAGCCTTCTCCTTATTTAGGCAGCCCAAATGAGGAAACCTTCCCATTAATGAGAAATTAGCACTGAAAAATTTTATATTTCCTGCTTGTACTTTTTTGCCCTGTTGTCTATCTTATTCTTGTTCTGACTTCATGTTCCAGATGGTACCACTACAAAATGATGTAGCCACCACAGCATGGTTCCTTGACTGACATTGTGGAGCACAGTGATCTTCATCCATTAAATAACACAAGACACAGAGGGCGACTGAGAAATCTATGTGTGTTATTTTAAGAATACAAATATGTTACTGTTCAAAGAATAGAAAGTTAATCCTGGCTTATAAATTAGTTTTTACTCAATTAGAAATAATGAACCACATTGAAAATTTCAGTTTTTTGGGTAAGAGTGAAACTTTTACAA